CTACTATTAAATCATGAAAAAACTCAAATACTGATCGTTGGTACAGAAACTCAGAGAAAAATGCTTTATGAGTAACTTGGTTTTTTAGCTTCATAGACCAAACCTGCAGTACAAAACCTGGGTGTGATCTTAGACTCTGAGCTCTGTTTGATCTGCATGTAAACAGAGTCACTAAAGTAGCTTTGATCATTTGAGAAAATCACTAAAGTTCAGCCTTTTCTCTCTCAGAGCGACGCAGAGAAACTTGTTCATGCATTTGTTACAGCAGAGTTGATCACTGTAATGGTCTTCTTACTGGACTTCCTAAGAAAACTATACATCCTTTACAACTCGTACAAAATACAGCAGCATCCTAACAAAAACAACACAGAGAGATCAGATCAGTCCCATTTTAAAAGAGCTGCACTGCCTGTATTGTTCAGGATAGATTTTAAAGCTCTGCTACTAGTTTTTAAGGCTCTAAATGACCTTAAAGCACCACTTACATCACAGAGTGTCTGTTTATGATCTTAGATCTGCAGATACTGACCTACAAACACCTTCAGTAAAACACAGAAAACAGAGAGACTCTTTCAGTTATTCTGCTTCTAAACTGTGGAGCTCAGTTCAGCTTTTATTAGACAGTCGAGCTCAGAGCTCACTTTTAATAAACATCTGAAAACGCAGCTCTTTAACTCAGCGCTTCATTAAAACTCTACGTCTCGTGGTTTTTATCTTCTAATCTGACCTGTGTCATTTTCTTATGAATCTAAATTAATACTTATAATTTCTTTTTTTATCACCTGTCTGTAAAGCACTTTGAACTGCCACCGGCATGAAAAGTGCTACAGAAATAAAAATTATTATTATTGTTATTACGAATTATTAAAAAAAGTATAAATAAGGGCCGGTGGGCCACACAATATCTTCCAAGGGTCTCTCTTTTGTTGAAAACAGTGTGGTTAAATCTGATAAATCTAAAAATCTATTTTTTGTTCTTCGTAGTTCAGGTGTTCTGTTTTATAACGTCACTATTTTGGGTAAGACTTTACTGAAGGGCAGCATTCAGACGGCATTCAAACTCCTGCATAAGCCTTTCATCCTTTCATGATAACTGACAAAAACCCCTATAGACACGTACAGTCATGTGAAGAAGTAAGTGCACCTCATCAAGTGTTTTTTTTAACATATGTGGCCAGTTAAACAGCATGTATAGATAAATGTTATGTAATAAATCAAAAAACGATGGAAATTTGACTTTGCAGTTGGTCATTTACCAAAAAAATGAACTGAGATGTAAATACATACCTGGCTTCACTAACTGCTCCTGCCCCCTTTTCTTATAGCATGATGTCATAACTTTATGTTATAGTTACAGTTATATGAACTGTATGTTCATTTAACTCTATGTCTGCCAGTTTCTGAGCTCTACTGGGTGAAATCTTTGCCGCTCCTCCATGTAGAACTCTTTCAACTTCTCTTTTTGCCGGTATTCTTTGGCCACACCACCACCACCCTTTAACATGGACATCAATTTCTCTTTTTCATTTCACTATTAACATCACAACTCATCGTTTATTAATATTAATACAGATAGATAGTGACGTGGTACCACAACCACCCAACCCACCACCCACCACACCTGAAGAAAAGACAGAGATAAAGGCTGAGAGACAAGACGGAAAAAAAAATTCAACAATAGACAAACTGGACAAGACGGGACACACAAACAAGAACATTTAACAAAACAATAAACAAGTTTTTCACACTATAAATATGATGTGGGTAGTTATCAAATACTACGTAATAATTTTTCTTGAAGAGTTTGGAACGATAAACCAGCTCTCAATATACCGTAAAAATTGTGAGCAGGTTTCCTTGAATGGTTTTGCATTATTTTAAAAATTTGCTGTAAGTCTTTCCAAGTTGCAGTGATCCATAAGCAGGTTAGGCCAATACTTTATTAAAATTTTGGTTCTGTCCTTCCAAGTCAGCAGCATAGCTTTTTTGAAAGTGGTAAGTTATATTAATTTTAAGGATTTTTCTCAACTGTTCAGTGCTTGAGGTTTTTCTTGCACGTACAGCCTGTTTCAGATCCCCCCACAGCATTTCATGGGGACTCGGATCTGAGCTTTGACGAGGCCCTTCCGCAAAACCTCCTTTTCCTGCTTTTAAAATGTTCCATGGTAGATTTACTTGTATGTTTGGGATCATTATCCTCTGGCCTCTCCACACTCTCTGGTATGAAAGAGCGCTCGCAAGCACCGAAAGAGAATTCAGAGTTGATTGTCATCCTTCATATAATTGAAATAAAACAAAGATGTGTCTTATTAAATTACATCACCTTTAACTATCAACACTGTTTGAATGAAGACTGGATGTCCAAACTTTCAATAAGGTGCTCTTATTTCTTCACATGACTGAATAAAGACACATGACGTGTTATTCCACTTGCTGAGCTCTGTATCAGACATTTCTGACACATAAAATGTCAAAAATAAGATACTGAATCATATTGAAACTGAAAATCGTTAAACCTCTAGTAAATCATCCTTTCACTGCAGGCCCAGTCATTAACTCAGGCCCTTGTGTGATTATGGAGGATTATAAACCCCTTTGGGTAGAGCTGCAATGCAAACCCTCTTGTTCTCTACTCATCAAGCTCTTTGTTAAGGCCTGGCATGACAGAGTGGTGAGAGCTCTTTCTCAAGTGGGTAGAAGAAGATGACGATCAATATCAGTGCAACAGCGGCAGGCTTGCTCCTCTGAATCCTTCTCAATCCTGCATACTCTGTGATGGTTATGATTGGGAAAGCGGACGGAGAGGCATCCATCCACTGAAAGTGTCTGACCAGAAGCTTTGATGTTGAAATGCTGCCGATAACAGGAGCAGAAAGAAGTTGAAGGAAGCACAAGATTTTCAGAGTAGCAGAGAAAGAAAGGTCTAAGGAGGAGAACCAGTAAGCAAAAAGAGAGCATGTAGCTAATGTCTCCTTGATCGGGTGCCCACTGCTCGCCAGCCTTCTGGACCGTTTTGACCACCATGGAGCTTCACGCTGTACAAAGCTGTGCAAACCTCACCTGCATGAACTGACCCTCCTGCTGCTGCTGTATAAACTCAGACTATCTAATTAACCATTGCTCCGCCTTTTGTATTCTAATATTTTATACTAATGCTGTTTGCTATCCGGTGTCGACCAGAGGAGGATGGGTTCCTCTTTTGAGTCTTGGTTCCTCTCAGTGTTTCTTCCTCTTTGCTCTTAGGGAGTTTTTCCTTGCCACTGTCGCCATTGGCGACGCTCATGGGGGTTTGGACCCGGATTTTTCTGTAAAGCTGCTTTGTGACAGCACCTGTTATAAAAAGCTCTGTATAAATAAACTTTGACTTGACTTGACCATGCATTTCTAGGTGAATTCCTTTTTTTTATGCCGAGTTGTCAAATCACAAACCTCAAAACTCTCTTATCCCAAGATTTCTTACATTATTGTCACCATCTGAAGTATAAATTGTTTTAGTCTACTTTAACACTTCCTTTTACTTTCAAAACAGATGCATTAGAAACAATAGTTTACTTTTGTGTGCCCAGTTAAGAACAACCCTTGTGTTATGTAACTCCAAAGAACCATGAGCAGTTCTACACCTAAGATCATCATGCTTATGACTACAAAATACAGGGTGATTCGAAAAAATTCATCCTATTTCAAAATGATTTATTTCACTTGTAAATCATTACAGATCAATGCAGTAAACTGTAAATGGTTTAAATGAGCATAAAGTTTATTATGTAATTGTACAAGGTCTCAGTATGAACCTCCTCCAGCTGTACAGACAACATCAACACCATAGTCAAACTCATCCATACTGGATTGAGCATGTCGGGTGTCGCTGCACTCACGGCTCTTTCAGTGCGATTTCGGAGATCATCCAGTGTTGTGGAACCAACGACGAACGCTCTGAGCTGTTGGAGCTTCACTGCCCACGAAAATCACACTGCACAGTTATGACGGATTCACTCTTATTGAAGTGGAGAACGCAGAACGCTTTCTGATCAGGGGTCTCATCTCCTCTCAGACTGAAGGGAGCCATCTTCCACTGACGGTCAGAAACTCTATGACCCTCTCTTTCAATTGGATTGTGATTGGTTCCTCGATGCCTCACAGTTGTAAAAATGTGGCGCTTTGAAATCTGATCAATCTTTTTGATTCACCCTGTACTTTAAATTGTGAGTAAACCTTTAGTTTATGTTTTAATATCTAGTTTATAAAGTTTCAACAATCAGTCAACAATATATAAGTCATTATTAAACAACAGTTAACCAGTGTGTCCCAGTGGACAGAGAGCATCAGAAGAGCCCGACACTGGACACTTTAAATCAGCCTAAAAACGTTCCAGTTTGAGCAGCTTTCAGCTCAGCTTAAACACTGTTAGTGTTTCTAGCCCCCTTTTCCTCTGTAATAAAACTTTATCCTAATCTAGCTTTTTATTTGATTCTTTAACTATATTTAACCAATTTAATTTATTTAATTTAAAATTTTAATGATTTTCTCTTTTAAATCTATTGTTTTAACCATGTTTTAATTTCTATTCTCTTTTACCTTAGTGTTTTTTTTAAACAGCTGTTTTCTCATTTGTAAAGCACTTTGAATGACAGCAGCGTATGAAATGTGTGTGTGTGTATGTGTGTGTGTGTATATTATATATATATTTGTATATATATTTATATATATATATATATATATATATATATATATATATGTACACATATCCTATCCCCACGTCCTATACAGTCTTGGAAAAAAGTCTGGTTCCATTGACTTACATTAAAGTATGTTTTTTTCCTTCTCCTGTAAAGTTACCATTTTGGAGATACGAGGTTTCCTCCGACATCTATAAAATAGATGAATAATAGATTAATAGATTTATCTGCAACCTAATTTCTGAAAAGAGTGATTCCAAACCTCTGCCTGGTAGCGCACGTTCACTGAAACACTGCTACTACAAAGAAGAGAGGAGATAAAGGTGGAATACTATGAACAGGTTTATTTGCAGAATGCAGCTCTGTTACAGACACGTTCATGATCTTTTGGTCTCTGTCTTCTGTCCACAGTCAACATGCTCCATTAAGGCTAGGCAGTTCCAGTTTTATTTCCCCCACAATAACAACATTTTTGGTCATCGTCCCCCAACAGAAACAAGTATGACTCTGAAAATGTGACGGCGCTCCACACAAAGCTCCTTTTGTTTTTAATATTCCCGTTTTTCTCCGTCCTTTTTACCGACTACACGGCATGAATTAATTAAAGCTTTTGTCATCTTCCCAGGAGTGTATTGTTTTAAATAACAATAAAAAAAGAACTTGTTCATGCATAGTTCGTTTTGTCTGGTTCATCCTTTTTTTTTCTGTAAAAAGCAAGTTCGAGTATACATGTACATAAGACACATAGTAAAATGAGTTCGTAGCTACGGAATGTATTAAAGCTTCTACCTGCGAAAGGATGTGTACGTGTTTCTTGTTGTTTTTGGTAAACTCTACTTACGTATAAAACGCTAAGAAAATAAGCATCCGATTCAACAGCGTTATAAAGAGGCCACAGAGTTTTCGGTACTGCATTATAGGCAATACTGCGCCGAGTAAGGCCCGTCTCCACGATCGCACACAACTCTCAGAGCAGACAAGTTGAGATGTACACTTTAACACTCAGTCACTCGCGCACATTCCTCCACGATCAAATATGCAAATAAAAATATACACTGCACAGTCTGACATGGCTTGGGTCCAACGCGGATATGTTTTAGTCGCCTTGCATCAATAAGATAGGAAGTGGTTTGGGTTTGTACCTTTGCAGAATCTGTGGGAATCTTTATTTATTTTTTTACCTAGTCTGGTCTACAAAAAACAATCCAACCCCCCTGCTTTGCTAAACCTCCCTCTCCCCCTTACCTCACTGTCCCAGTCCTGCCAAACAAAACATGATTCTTTAGCATCTGTTGTTTCTTTGCGTTTCTTTTTTTCCTATTTTTTTTTACTATTATGGCCAATTCATTCAACCAGAAGCCTTTCAACCAGCAAAACGGCTTGTAGGTCAGACGTCGGCTTTTGATTGGCTACGGGGGTCCCGTTTGTTTGTTTTGTCTTTTACGCCCTCTTCATGCCTCGGCCCATCAGGCAGGCGAACACAGTCATGACCATTTTGGGCTTGACCTCTACCAGGTCGTCGGGCAGGGCGTACACGCGGGCACCGATCTTCCTGGCCATGGATACAGCATATCTGGAAAACAGAGGACAAAGCGTGAGCAGATTATACCTTCTTTCATTTGTTTTGGGTACCTTCAGTTTATTTCCACACTGTTTTAACAGCCCTCGCCAGCTTAGCTTAGAAAGGTGAAGCACCTACAGTTCAGCTCAAAATTATTCACGCCCATGCCAAATTATGATTTATAGTGACTGCTGACCCGTTATAGAAGTTATGGAGAATAAACTAAACGGACTCCCACAGGAAAGCAGGAGCACACACCAACTGTACAGTGTGTTATCACCCTCAACCGGCCCAAACAACCCCCCCCTTTATGTACCTGTGATGGAGAGGGACAGAAAAGTACAGGATATTCTAAAGATGACCTAAAAGGATCAGGCATTAGAGACAGATACACACCACAATCCCAACTACACCACCCCACCCTGATTATAAATGCAATAAAACGATCAGAAGCCATATAAATACTGATTAAATGCTGTTTAATTAAACAAAACTACTATACTAACCTTTTTTATTCATCTATTTCATTTTGTTCTGTTGTCTGTCACACGTACGAGCAAAATGCTCTATAAACAGTTTATTATTACTGTCATTATTATTAAAAAAACACAAGAGGTCATTTGCAGATCAAGATAAGGATAAGATGACAAAAAGTGGACTTGTCAACAGAAACAAGTTTGCCATCACAAAATTCTGGCTTATGAGTTTATAAAAGCAGGTCCACTTCTAAACACAAAACCTACAGATTTAATATATTATATATATTATATATATTATACCTTTTACTGTACATTGGGGTTGTTTGTAATTTTTGAGCCGGTTTCGATTCCGATTCCAGGTTATGAAAAATCGATTCCAAGACTTGATTATACACAATCTCAATTCCAGGAACCAAGACATAGAGAAGGATATCTATATTAATTATATTTGAAAGTGGTAAGAAATTTGTAGAGGCTTGCAAGTTAAATGAACTCTGCTGACTAGGCTGCCCTAATTATCCCAGGGTTTCAGTCCTTCAGTGTGATTTTTCTGTTGTGGCTGCCATATTTGGGACCGAATTTCTGGCTTCGCTGCTCCGCATGAACATAACTAGAGGTGAAAGGTGGCTAAAATTACTCTCCTTACTTTGGAAGAGAAAAAAACGTTGCCTCAACAAAGTCGATAAAACAGGCTGTGATCCTTATACAGTTTACCCCTGAACTCCTGATCCCACTGAAACTGGTGGAAAAGCTACCAAATTTGTTTTCCTGACATTCATATTGATCTCATACTCAGCCCCTCTCCCTATTCTGGAGAGTCTCTCACAGCATTTAAAGCAAAGAAGCCCACCGGCTCTTCACGTCAGGGTGGGTAAAGGATCCCATGGTGTTGCATAAAGAGGAGAAAACACTCTGATCATAGGAGGGTAACGACACCAGCTAATTAACACAGATGTGATCAATGCTGGCCTTTAGATAACTTCAGCTGATGTTAACAGAGAGAGATAAACAGTCGCCCCCTAACGGAGCTGCAGACCGCCGGTATAACTTCACTTTCTGTTTCTGATTTAAATGACGTTTGAATGGAGAAACATAAGCGTTAAATATCAGACTGAATGTCGTGGGTCGGAAAACGACGTCGTGTTTCGACAGACGTGATTCTGTAAGTTTGCTGGTGCAGTTAGTTCAGAGTTCAGCTCCAGTCCTGAAACCCCTGCACTGCATAACTGTGGTTTCCTGGTTAAAATACCTGATATTATTAGCTGATTAATCCCTTCTTGAGCTGAACGAGGTGAACAGCAGAGAGAAACACTAAACTATACAGTGCAGCGGCTCCAAACCTGGAGTGAAAACACTGAATTAAAGCTCTGTGTGTCTCTCGGCTTCTGTCGCGTCTTACAGGTGAATCATTCACAAAGCACAGCTAATTGAAGGCGTCGTCCAGCGCAGTCACTCCCTGATTCGGTCCTGAAAGTGGCAGCGACTATACAGTGTGACATCATGCAAAACACATTTATTTAAAGCAAAAAGGGTGACTATCTAGACAGAGCAGAAAATCTCATACTGTGTGCACACGGGTGCAGGCAAACTTCTCAGTGGACTTACTTGGCATTCTCCAGCTTGTCCTGCTCGGACAGACTTCCGGTCTTTACTAGATCATAGTGGATGCTGCCTGGCTGGATGGCATCGATGAGGTCCAGCACTGGCAAACTGGAACTGATCTCTTTGTCCTATAAGCCCAAGATCACAACCACATTCAGTCACTGTGCTACAAAGCTTTCAGCATTTAGAACCAAGCTGGAATACCGGCTGAAGAGATCCCGTACCTTGAAGCTTGAAATTTTGGTCGATTTTCCTGCCCCTGACAACGTTTTATTGACCCAGTTGACGATGATGTCATCGTTCACCTTCTGTCCATCTCCCAGGTCCTCAAGTACATTCAGAGTATATCTAGAATATGCAAATAAACACAAGATGAGCCCAAGAGTACAACAACATTCAAGATTCAACAACAAACAAGGCAATATCTAAGAACGATGCTCTTAAAACCTCAATGCAAATCATCCACATACCTCCTCATCAGCTGCCAAACCAGAGCCAGGGTCAGTGTAGGGTTGCCGTCATTAAGGTCCTGACCTCCAATACCCACCAGTGAGAATTTGGCAGTTGTCTTTCCAAGTTCCACAGCATAGTTACAGTTCTCCAGCTGCACTCAGAGGCACAAACACAGATGTTATCTTAAAAAGACCATTGAGCCAGTTTTAGTCTAAAACCTAGATTTTACAGTTTCAAAAATCTGCAATCTTTTTTCCCCTCAAAGCATTTTTGATTAAGGAATTATACCAGAAATTCCCAGTGGGGGCTTGAACAGAACAGTAAAGTAGACTGGGCTTGGGGCCTCAAGTATGGAAGGCAAATCCAGCCAAAAAAGGAATTAAAAAACAATAAGATGTAAATGCAAATCTCTTTTTGCCATTTCCTAAAATATAACCTGTAGCCCCAACCAGGGTTAATTAACATATATTTGCATGTTGGACAACTTGAAAACGAAAAATCAAAGTGGGAAATGAAAAGTAAAATCACCAGCAGGTGGCGCCAATGGTCATTTACATTTGCCTTTTTATTCTGACACTTACAGCATGTCTACGCCGGAGACTGAATCACAAACTGTCACTTTGCTGTTGATTTATCGATTTTGCATTTTGTCAAATAAGCAGCCAATTGCTATGAAAAATAAATAAAACTGCATTGTGATTCTAGTTTTGACATGTATTACGCATTTCATGAAGAAAAGGAAAAGCCAAAGTGAAGCTCGGATTTTCTTTTCTGTACTAGCTTTTCCATTTTAGATACAGCCATGAATACCAGAATAATGACTAAAATGAAAAGACAAACAGCTGTTTTACATTTATATTTAGTTTTGTCATAGATGCCTCGTGCTTATGTGAAAATGAAATTGCAAATGTAGGGATTTCATTTAATTTTGGCAGGATATCTGCGCAGATGTTTGGAAAAAGAAATGGCAAAAAGAGGTTTGCAGTTACATTTTATTGTTTTAATTTTATTTTCTTTGTTTGCCAGATTTGCCTCCCAAAGATCTGGGTCACAGATATTCTGTGCTCTTTTGGCCTCACAAAATGTGTTAAACGGTAATGATAACACACAAAATGTGACTTCTATACTGTTGACTGATTGTTGGAACTTTATCAAGTAGATATTTCAACATAAACCAAAGGTTTACTAACAATTTAAAGCATTTTGGGAACAACAAGAAGTTATGAGATTGTAAAAAAGAACTATTAATTAACAAATTATTATTATCCATTCATAGCAATTTCTTGTCACTATTACTACGGATATATACAAAGGTTTGGGCACCCCTGTTCAAATTATGTTTTGTTGATGTGCAACAAATGTGCAGAAGTATGTTATTAGTAGGGGATTTATTTTGACAATTACTGTTTATTTGCCGAATTTCACATAATGGGAAAAAACCAACATAAATGTTGTTATATTGATTATTTTTGTCAAAAAAGACTCGTGCTTATGTGAAAAAAAATTAAAGTCCAAATGTAGGTATTTCATTTCATCTCATTTTCAATTTTGGCGGGATATTTGCACAGATGTTCGGAAAAAGAAACGGCAAAAAGAGGTTTGCATTTACATCTTATTGTTTTAATTTTAATTTCTTTTTTGGCTGGATGCGCCTCCCACACTGAAGTGCTGCGTTTTGGATTCTCTGGTATAAACAGTGTGTGGATTATTATATATAACTGTATAAGAGACATAAACTACCCAGACGGCACAGACGTTTGGGTGACTTCCTGCTGTTTTAGTACGATGCCCTCTGTGACTCAAATGACCCCTCGCACATCAGGGTGAGGAGACAACAAGGATCAGATTTTCGATAGGAAATACAGGCTGACCTCACTGAGCTAATTAGCCAACTAAGCAAACTTTGTAAAGTAAAACGTTTTCTCAAAAACTCCAAGTAAAATTTAATGCACACCCATTTTATAAATAACTTTTAAATAAATTTTGTCTGGCTTAAGCTTCAGGTTTGGGATGGGAACCTTGGTGCATGACCCTGTTTTTTTGTTATTGTTAGCTATGTAGTCCATGTGCTGTGTAGATGAGTGACATTACAAATATAATAAGGTACCTTTTTCATGTTGGCTCCAATTTTTGGGTAAGGGGGCTTATTGACTTTGTTGTTCCAGTCAACCGGAACCTTGATCCGCTCATAGAGCTGCAGGATGACCAGGGCATCTTGGAGATCACTGTGAGGGAAACACAGGAGTGAGCATGTGCACTGAAACTTGTATACTGTATATTATATGATATATAGCTGTTGTCGGAGCAAAACCTCGTATCTCCAGAATGGTAACTTTACAGGAGAAGGAAAAAACCCACACTACTTTTAATGTAAGTCAATGGAACCAGACTTTTTTTTCCCACCAGTCGTTTTGGGCCGTTTCTTTTAGTCCATTCGTCATGAAATTTATATACAATGTAAAGGGTAAAAATGGAAATACGAGGTTTTCTTCCAACAACGCCAATATAATGCAGAACATAAGAGGCATCTGCAAACATACAGGGATAAGGAATGAACAGTGTTTTACCCGTATAGGTGGTTCACGTGAGGATTAACACCCAGCGAATTCATCCAGTTCCGGAATGTTCTCTCCTCTCTGGTTTCTCCTAAAAAGAGCAGGAAAAAAATTAAAGCACAGCTGAACTGACAGCTTAATTTACAACAGTGTTTGAACTCCATGATGCAAAACACATGAATTTTCGCCATGTATAAGTGAACTGAGTTTGTATAGCTGTGCCTAAATAAAAGAAGTGAAGGACTGAATAATAAACATACATTCAACACTGAAATTTCCATAGACAAAGTTTCCAAGCCAAATACATTTGAATAAGAGACGACAGAAGAGGCTTTTTTGAGAACATCACTGTTCAACCACTAGAGGGCACCAAGACACACCCGAGTACAACAGTGCTCTGTTTTTGCCAGGAAATGACCCAACAGGTACCTCCCTTTACTTCTAAGAGTTTTGAAGCATACCAGTACAAAAGAGAAACCCACCCTCCCGCCCACCACGTCTACTAAGGTCTATATTTAGATGGCTTTGAAATGTGTATTTTCATGCACCTTTCAGTCTTGTTTAAAGTTTAAAGTACTATACATAGACAGACTAGACTCTGCTCAGCTGGGAAAATATCCATGCACCCCTACAGGATGGTATTTTCATAGAACTGGCAGTGGAGAAGGGGAAGCGAGGGAGGGGCTGGTTTTGCTGGACTGGAATGGGGTCAGTGTACCCACCCTCCAGCAGGCCCCAGTCGATGTCCTGGTTCTCAGGTTTGGTCAGTGCTGGGTACTTGTTGAAAAGGTTGGCCACGAACGCCAGGTTGAGCTTGGGGTTGCCGGACACCACATCGGCCGAAGTGACGAACTGTCTGCAGCCCAGCCTGTCGGCCTGCACCAGCATCGCCTCGGCTCTTTTCAGATCATCTTTCTCCTGCGAAACACATGAAAACTGGTCAAAGGATGCCGAAGAGTCCTGGCTATAATTACAGCGTCTAAATCTTACTAATCTGTTCCCCTTATACAAAACCCAAATTTGACTAAGCCTCAGTTAAAAGAGCTTTGTGAGGGCTGTAGCTCACTATCATTCAACCCTGATCTATTGCTCTGTTGTCATATCGCGGTTAACCTTTTTAACTATGTGGAATCACCGGTGGATCCAAAACGCACTTCGTCATATACTTTACTTTATAACTTTCGCATTTCATAAGCTTCATTCTAAAGGTGGGGGTCGTATGAGAGCTGTAACTGTCTTCTATCCAGTCAAATAGATGGGTGATGTAATTTTAAAACTTTATAATAAAAGAAGCTGAACTCAATTTTTTTTCTACTGAAATTCGACCCATTTTTCCACAAATCTGAGCTACAAACTGGATCTCAGATGGCGTCTCTTCAGTGATCTGCTCTGTAAAAATAACTTTTTATAAAAAAACAAAGAGCCACAGTAAATTGTAAGCATAGAGCATTATGTTTATGATCATAAAACACATTTTCTGTTAATTAAAGGGGAATTTTTACCAATTTATTTCATGCAGTTACTGAATAATTTGCCTTACGGTTTGGGCAAATATACCAACGAGCGCAAGAGGTTAAAGACAATTACAAAGAGGAAGAGGGGGGTAAACATTTGAGTGAAAAATGTAAACAGTGAGTGGAACTGCATTACAGATACTTCATCAGGGAGCTTTGCCGTACACATCATAACATGGTGATTATGATTATTTACGATAACTGCAGTGTCCAACACATTGCTTCTCCTCCCCCATTTGAAATGGTTCAAGCATTCAACACAGTTTAACAAATCTAAGCTAAAACCGGGATAAAACTGAATAAAACAAGCAAAATAAAAAGCGAACAGAACTAGGAGGGGGGCTGTGAATGTGTCTGCAACGAGGAAAAGCGACAGTATGATATAATCAGCTTCAGATAACAGTGTACACAGGATGAAACGGAAGTGCACGCTTTCAAAAGGGACTATTCATAACACACATGCACAAACAAAGCGCGCGTGAGGAAAAGGCCTTGCCTTTCAGGCATGTTGATTGCAGAGTGACCCTGAAAGTGACCCGAGAACAACGGCAGCTTAAATTCAGCCTGAAAAGACTACTTTCTCCCCTCGGCTGTCCGGCCACAGCCGTTTCCCCCAGCGTGACCCAGTCCCCCACTGGCTTCTCCTGGCTTCACGAGGGGTTAAGTGCATGCACATGGCAGTGTGGATATCTGAGTCACTCAATTTGTCTCCATAAATCACCACAGCGTCTGCTCGAGCCCTGCTGGGAATTCTGCGACGTTACACCAAATAGAACGATAAACGGTTCAGGCTGAGGCCGTGTGGACGAAACTTGCACAACCGACCTCTCCTGAGACAGGAAGACGGGGGAGGAGGAGGAGTGGCTCCATGATAGGGAGTTAGGCATAGGCAGTGTTAACAGATGTGGTGACTGTCAGCCAGTCTTTTATAGAAATGGACGCAAGTGTCAGTTTGTCTCAACGTGGACGCGATGAATGGAAAATCAAATGTGCTAATTTTTCTTCCCACCACAAATAGTCAATCGGCCAAGACAAGTTTGGCCCCAGATGTTTCTTTCTTTAGTTTTACATCTGTGAAATTTCTGTATAATTCAACTGGTGGGATGTAAACAGAGTCACTGACTTAGATTTCAAAAGTCAGAGTTACTAAATAAAGCTGCAAAGTTACTGTCTCAGATTTGTTTACAGCGGTGGTGATAGGAACTGAAGATGTCTACAACACAAACGCAGCCATTTATTTACTACGCAAACCCACCAGAGAGCCAACACGTGTTTTTACATTGTAAAAATAGTGATAATAGTTTTCTTTGGGAACTATTTTGCTTTACAACGCCCTGTGTGTGCCTCTCTGTCATGATCAGAGTGAACAATACATTTTTCAACCTAAAACTCTCTCGCAAAACAACGCATCCAGCATCAGGCAGTGTATTAGTGACCACTTTATGTAATAACTTTTTGTGACTTCAGACTAGGGCTGGGCGATTAATCGAAAAGTAATCAAAACCGACATTCAGAACCTCTAACCAACGCAATCCTGCCCATGTCGGTTATTTAGATTTTTTAAATTCTGTTAATCCTCTCCACTCTGTGTGTTCATGTACTGTCCCCTTAAAAACTTACTACCACGCGTGTGTCGTCACGTGACTCCGCCACGTCCAGTCTGTGACATGGAAGCTAAGGCTACGTTCACACAGCAGGTAAAAGTGGCCCAAATCTGATTTTCTCACCAAACCCGATTTTTTGTTTGGCTGTTTACATTATCTATTAAATGTGATCTGTATGAGACATCAGTCTGAACAGATCAGCTCCTAAACTGACCCACATGAGCAAAAGAACAGAGCGTCACGCTGCTTCACGGCTCATCCAGAGGTAAACAATCACGACTGCTAACGAACACCAGTCGCTCCCGGAGGATCAGCTTCATCTTCAACAGCATCACAGGAGCCATCATGAAGCTTCACTGACTGACAGCTGGGCTCATCACCCAGAATGTGTTCAGCTCGCCGTAAAAAGGGCGCGGTCACTTCTTTGGTTCGCGTCCTCGGATTCTTTAAACTTTGCTTTCAGACTTTTTAACTGTTCTTTGATGCTGCAGCCTCGTTCGGCCACTTTAGAAATCTCTGAGGTGTTTTTGATGAGTCTCTTCTAATTTTTGTACAGAAATATTACCCCGAATGTTTATGAGTCTCAGCAGCGCGAAATTATGACGAATGTCAAATTAGATTGACGTAAAAGTGAATTGCAATGTGGCTGTTGAGACGATTTATATTAAGATATGCAGAACATATTTACAGTACAGACCTTGTCGGTGAACTATAAGGGGAAAAAAACAAAAAACCAAAAAAAAAAAACAAAAACAATTGTTCATTAATTGTAATTGAGGAAAAACATTCAATTAATGGTGATATAGATTTGACGCCATATTGCCCAGCACTACTTCAGACATCGGTTCTTACCACCACCACCACTGTGAGCAATTCTGACTGCAAGTTTCTCTAGAAAAGAGTTTATCAAACCACTCTGCATGACTTTGTCCACATCTTAACCATTTAATCATGCAGCAATGAAAAAAATGAATGGAATTCCCCTTTTAAGTAATCTCAAAAAGACATGCTTATGTAGTGTCTGACACCGTATGACATACAGTGTCTATATAAATAAACAAGTTTAGGAATGCAGTTTGCACAATGATAATTGGTGAGGCACAGGCTTTCATTACTTGCTTAATATATCAGCCTTGGAGCTCGAGTATGAAACTAAAGCAGCACACTTCATACAGCAAACACGTCTTGGCTGATTAATTCCATTTGAAATTCCATTTTAAATTAATTAATGTCATTAAAGGGAATTCTGTGCAAATCTGATTATTTCTGACCTATTCTTTTAGTGGGGATGTGGATGGCGAGCCTGCAGTACACTAAAGTCTTGCCATTCTGTCTCCATTCTGTGGTTTGCTTGCCACTTTATTGGATTGTTTTACATGCAGTGTAGAGTCTGGCTGCAGACATGCACTCTCCGCTGGACGTGCACCGCCAGCCTATTGATGATGTCAGTGCTGCTCTGCCACCACAGTGTTTTTGTCAGTTTTATGAGGAAAAACAGCGAAACACGAACTGCTGGGCAACAAGAGCTACACTGAATGTATATTAACGTTGTCATACTGATAATAAGGTTATTAAATATGGAAACTTTCAAAATAAAACCTACCATGACGATCAGACATGAATGTCGGGTTTATTCGCAGAAAAAAAAAAAACAAAAGGCTACTGAAACTCATGAAATCCAAGCTGAAGACGATTAGAAAGTTGTCAGACAACGTTATCATAATTCTGAAGAATTACGTTTCAGCGCCGCGCCAATGTAGAGAGCACCAAGCAGACGACGCTGTGGGCACCATAGTATGTTGTCACAACATAACTGTGTTTGCAGGGCCGTTAGGAATAAAACCTGATGGTTTTGCTGAATTGGCTTGATGGTTGCCGCCGTTACAGGCCATTAGGAAACGATCAAATGTATGTGGAATCAGCCCCAAAACACCTGATTAAACAATCAGAATACTTTCAACTGTGATATCAACCCATCAGGAAAACACAGAGTACCATTAGCGACTACTGGAAACCTCCAGTTTCACATTATTCACTTTATTGTGCCAAGTTTAGTCTCGCACATCACTCCAGCAGCACTTTTAAAGGAGTTAAAGAGACGTTAGGTTTAACAGTAAAAGTAAAAGAATACAAGTAAGGAAAATTACTCAGAGCGGTTTGATGCGAAAACCTTCGTTCAAAGGAAACTTGTTGTGTCAGAAATGTTCTCAGTGTTGGTGATAGGAACCAGACGTCTGAGGAGTTTAATATCTCTAAAAAATTCTTCCTAACTCAAAGCCCTTGCATAAATTATAAATAAATACTCTTCCTGAAACCGATACGTTGTTGTTCAACAGTTTTGAGATTAGGTTTCGGTCTAAAGCGTAGTTTTGAAAGAGACACAGTGTGGAGTGGTACATGCAGAGCGTTGAAAGGCAAAATAGAAAAGATTTTTTTTTCCCCAGATTTACCACCTTTTTGTCATTCATCATATCAACATCACATTTAAAATCACAATATACGAGTAAAATAGTTATATTTGAGCTGTATGCACCACAAACCCTTGTTCCTATAATCACCATTGTGTAGAAAGTTTCTCTACAAATGCACTTTTTCACTCTTAAATTACTTGATTTACATCTCAGAAATGTAAGTATGCAAACATTTTCAAAAATGGGTGGAATTCTCCTTTAAGGACATATCCATTCAGTAAACAGAGTGATTCAAAAAGATTCATCCGATTTCAAAGCGCCATATATTTTTACAACCGTGAGGCGCTGAGGAACCAATCACATACCAATTGAAAGAGGGGGTCATAGAGTTTCTGACTGGGTTCCTTCAGTCTGAGAGGAGATGAGACCCCTGAGCAGAAAGCGTTCTGCGTTCTCCACTTCAATAAGAGTGAATCAGTCATAACTGTGCAGTGTGATTTTCGTGGGCAGTGAAGCTCCAACAGCTCAGAGCGTTCGGCGTTGGGTCCACAACACTGGATGATCTCCGAAATCGCACTGAAAGAGCCGTGAGTGCAGCGACACCCGACATGCTCAATCCAGTATGGATGAGTTTGACTATGGTGTTGATGTTGTCTGTACAGCTGGAGGAGGTTCATACTGAGACCTTGTACAATCACATAATAAACTTTATGCTCATTTAAACCATTTACAGTTTACTGCATTGATCTGTAACGATTTACAAGTGAAATAAAAAAAACATTTTGAAATAGGATGAATCTTTTTGAATCACCCTGTATTAAGAAAGTGCATCCAGCAGGTGTGTAATTTTGTCAATAAATGCCTCCATGATTGCCGTTTGTGTTGTGTGTAGGCGTAAGCATTTCCAGGCACATACCTGAGCGTCTGAGAGTCTTTCTTACGCTAAGCTACAGTGCCATTAACTCCCCTCTCCGCTTACTGCTGAGCTAAGACTCAACGTAAACACTTGTGCTGAAGCTGGAGCGGCATGCCAAGCGCTCCCGATAACGTCTTGAGCATCTGCCAGAGCCTTACAGGAAACCCTGACGAAGTCTTACACATCTGACAGGAGGGATATCACTCCACTTTGGGACCACACACACCACTGACTCAGCTAAAACTGTTAGTAGGAGTTATGAACAACAAAAAGTGGGCATTTTGACATGTTCTCTGGATGAGTGGTGGCATCGATCAAACTTAGAAGTGAAGAGGATGTGATCTAGGAGCAGTTTTTTGTGTTTTATGCTATGTGCTATGGATCAACCCCAGTGAACTACTTTTTAAAGCCTTGGTGTGTCGCAAATCTGTCTGGTAGCAAATCTGCTTTCTGGTAGTTTTTTTTATTTTGTTTGTTTGTTTTTATGGTTTCGTCGGCTGTTTTTATGGTTATGTTAAATAAAAAGTAACTGCACATTTTATAGGTTAATTAACAAAAAGATGATCTGCCCAAATAAACAGTTCTACAGTGAATGCCCAGCCAATGTATCTGCCCATTAGGACCACCACAGAGGGGAGAAGGAAAAGGATTTCTCTGCTTATAAACTTCTACCAGGTCATGATGGGAAATAATCCCAAAAATCTAGTTGCAGTCTTGCAAATAGTGACCCTGCAAAATCCCAGGCTTTGCAAAACAGTCTGTGACTGAAAACTCAGTGACCTTGTCTTTAGATGTGAGAGGGTGTCAGACTTCAGTCCTTTCAAAGTCTTCTAGTGCACGGCTATCATTACTCTTTGAATTAGGTCTGTAAGGAACAGACACATCAGGCAGCCCAACGGGATGAAACCAGGTGTTTCTGGAAAGTCCATTACAACCCCCACATGCGTAAAGGAATTTTGAGGCAAAACATTTTTCACTTCCGTTTCTCTCCCTCGTGCAAATACACGATCTAATCTGCCCCAGCGAAACACAAGAACTCAAGGACTCACGTTGAAGCCTGCCATGTTGATGTCAATGCGCTCCTCGTTCTCTTTAAGGCCTTTGGGTGCAATTTGGTTCAGGAGGTGGAAATAAGCTCTGGAGTCCTGCAAGAATCCAACAGAATGGGGGAAAAACATGAAGCGAACATGAAACATGAAGTTGCAACTTTTCACATATACAAGGCATTAAGATTAATGAACGAAAATTAATGATGAGAGAACACAAAGAAAAATGAGAAAACCATGATAAACTCATGAGAACGCTTGGAACTCCTGAGCAAGTTCATATTCAGTGATAATAGAGATGCAGAAAGAAAAATGATGAGTCACGCTAAAGTGAAAAACTTGGCTGAACATTTGGAAAAAAGTACCTTCACAGAGTTTGAGAAGTCTGAAAGCTAAAGCACAGGGAAAGACAGACAGTTGGTAAGAGAGAGAGAGAGTGAGAGCACCACACAAGAACACAGTTCATTTCTTCTATGGCGTAGAAAACAAAATCTAAAAATATATAATTGATTTTAGGGATAGATACACCAATCAGGCATAACATGATGACCACCTCCTTGTTTCTACGCTCATTGTCCATTTTATCAGCTCCACTTACTATATAGGTGCACTTTGTAGTTCTACAGTTACAGACTGTAGTCCATCTGTTTCTCTGATACTTTGTTAGCCCCCTTTTACCCTGTTCTTCAGTGGTCAGGACCCCCATGGACCCTCACAGAGCAGGTACTATTTATACTACTTTCTCAGCACTGCAGTAACACTGATGTGGTGGTGGTGTGTTAGTGTGTGTTGCGCTGGTCTGAGTGGATCAGACACAGCAGTGCTGCTGGAGTTTTTAAACACCTCAGTGTCACTGCTGGACTGAGAATAGTCCACCAACCAAAAATATCCAGCCAACAGCGTCCTGTGGGCAGCGTCCTGTGACCACTGATGAAGGACTAGAGGATGACCAACACAAACTGTGCAGCAGCAGATGAGCTATCGTCTCTGACTTTACATCTACAAGGTGGACTGACAAGGCAGGAGTGTCGAATAGAGTGGACAGTGAGTGGACACAGTGTTTAAAAACTCCAGCAGCACTGCTGTGTCTGATCCACTCAGACCAGCGCAACACACACTAACACACCACCACCACGTCAGTGTTAGCTCAGCGCTGAGAATGACCCACCACCCAAACAGTACCTGCTCTGTGAGGGTCCATGGGGGTCCTGACCACTGAAGAACAGGGTAAAAGGGGGCTAACAAAGTATCAGAGAAACAGATGGACTACAGTCTGTAACTGTAGAACTACAAAGTGCACCTATATAGTAAGTGGAGCTGATAAAATGGACAATGAGCGTAGAAACAAGGAGGTGGTCATAATGTTATGCCTGATCAGTGCATCTTGCATAGTAGTCTACTCGCAATTAAAAAAAAAGGACTATGACTGTATTTTGCACTGGGATAATTATCGCCCACACTACTCTTTCAAGACAACACATCATTTGGTGATCAGACTGTCTATTATTACATCTGGCAATTTCCATACCAGCAAAAAGCACCGAGGAAGTGCCAAAGACTAGAGAAAATCACTGACATCTCTGCAGATACAAGCTGTAATGCACCTATTTAAAATGTATGACAGCTGTTTTCTTTCAGGCACATTAGACTATACATTAGTAAGTCTCCCATTAAGAACTTCTCCATCTCATAATTTCAGCCACCACAGGAGATCGTTAGATGAGACACAGAGCTATAAATATCAGTGGATAGTTATTGGAGAAAAAAAAAAGAGAAAGGAGAAAGGGAGAAGGAAAGATGGAGAAAGAGAAAGAGGAAGAGACAAAGTGAGAGCACTAAATCTCATCTCTGGCACTGTGTGTGTTGAGGGCTGCCTGAAAACCGAACACTGCTCGACCTCTTTGGCCTCATTAAGACCAATCTTAAGATTGGTCCATAGTTCACACTGCTGTCACAGCACGTGAGGTCAAGCCAAGAGGCTGTTCATCAGGCATCAGTATGAGACGGTACTTTACATTTTCCTCAGGAAGATCTGACGAAGCAAATCAGGAAAATGTGAGTATATAGGGAGATTTAACGAAACACTTCGCTGTTGTCGGAAGAAAACCTCATACCTCCCAAATAACTTAACAGAAAAAAGAAAAAACCTACTTTACTTTTAATGCAAGTCAATGCAACCAGACATTTTTCAAAGTCATTTTAGGTCGTTTCTTTTAGTCCATTCATCATGAAATTTACAAACAATGTAAAGAGCAACTGGCATTTTCAAATTATGTCAAAAACTGAAAAACGACAAAAATGGAGATACAGGGTTTTCTTCCAAAAACAGCGACTTCTTAAACAAAAATACACAAATGAGTGGAGCATCTAAATAGTAACAAATACAGACAACAGATAAACATCTAAGTTATAAATTACATGTTTGAAAATAGCCCAAGAATATTACTTTGGACCAAAATAAAGTGTATACTTAACTGAGTATTATAAATTAGTAATAATATCACCATTCCAAAGCAGCTGAATGGCCACTAGACTTTATATACCTTTATGCATGAAATATATAAACCTATTTCTTCTATTTCTATTCATTTCAAGCTCATTTGAGCCAATGGAGGCTGAGTATGGATGGAGAATCATTAGGACAGCAGTGCAGATCAGTGGTACAGCGTAAGAACAACTCAGTCACTCAACCCTCCTCACCTTGATGTCGGAGCTGAAGTTGTTTATCTTGTGCCAGCCGGCGTTTTCCAGGTGGTAGTTGGCCCAGCGTAGGAGCAGCTCCTCTGGGGACAGCTTCATCAGATCCTCCAGGGTCTCACCCTCCCGCAGCAATGCCGCCAGCGCTGAGAAAACACACACCGAAGTGTCAGCACACATCTCTATACTCACATCACAAAGGGCAAACAAACACCTACAGACACACAAACACCTACAAATGTACACATTTCAGCTAGCCGAACTGTGTAAAAACAAAACTGGGGATGTTTTCTGCAACACTGAACACCTGGATAACCTTTAGCTGTACAGAATACAGTTTTAAAGCCCACACTCTCTGAAAAACTGTCACTGGGGCAGTTCCCCTCCTGTCACTGGGGTGGAACCCTCAAGGCTCCATCTCAGTACCTTTAGTCAGGGAACATAACTGAACCATAATCCACTGAAATGATATGTTCTAAGCTGTACTGACTCCACACACCCCGTCTCGTCTCCAGGCTTTTATTTTACTGTTCTGTTTAAAACATTCGGTTATGAAAAGGTACAAATACGAACTTTTCACCTGGAAAAACTTATTTAAGGTTCACAATCAGACCTTAAAACCACTGTTGTTGTTTTTTTTTTCATAATACCTGAAATGTAATCTAACAGACAGTATTGTGTCAGCTATTCTGGAAATTATAAAACTGAAGATGATTTTGTACGCGATTTCGTACCTAATCTTTATCTATTCTCTCTGCTTCGAATCTTGCCATATCCCTGGCGAGTTCACCGCAGGACTGCACACAGCACGCATTACTGCACATGCATCACTCAACTGACAGTAAAGCAACGCAAGCGCAAAGCCCTGCAAATTCCTACGCTGCAAATTAGAGAGTGAGCAAACTCGTTAGTCCGCTCCTGAGTCCAGCCCTCAGGGCTCTCACAGCCTGCCCTGCTGATCAAATTCTTCCCAACATTTATTAAATCACCAGCAAGGAGAGGCACTATCTGTATGTGTGAATTCCTGGCCGATGCCATCAGCCTCGGGCCTCTGAATAGTGCCAGTGTTGAGACCGAGCGCCTGACAGTGAGCGGGTCGCCGAGGGAAGAGATGGGGGGAGACTTACCCTCGTTTCTACTCAGCTCAATGTCGGCAAACAGGCCGATCTTGATGATCTGCCACAGCAGGCCCAGCACCAGGTGAGGTTTGCCTTCCCGCAGGTCCATAGCGCCGATGTTGACCACATGACAACCAATGGCTGATGCAGAGTTCAGGGCCAGATTGAGGTTTTCCTGCAGTGAGGGGGGGGGGTTAGGATATGAAGGGTTTCATTGCAAAATGCATAATAAGAACATTTTGGACTTTTTCTTATGATGTATGTGGTGGGGAGAGCGCGTTTATTAATGCTTCATAATGATTATAATTACCACTTTTTTCAAGAATTAAAAACGTTTTCCATTGACCTGATTTCCCCCAAAACTCTTTATATCCAACATGGTTACAAATGGATATACAGGTTTTTGGAATAAAACTCCTCACATACTGCCAAAAATCTTCTAATCTACTTTCAGATGATAAACTGGAAGGAAACCTTTGGATAAATGTAGGTATAAGTATATGTAGGTTTATTTTTTTCCCAGGTATTTTAGATATTTCACTGAATACTTAGTCCCAGAATACTCCAAGTACTTTGGTCAGTGCAAGAAGGTATTAAATGTTAATATACTCTAATTTATTTGCAACAACTTCTTGTCATGTTGTTGGGTTAGAAATAATCACCTTTCTATCCAGCTTCCACATTTTAGAATCATCTTTAGCAGCTTTTACTATCCTGGATTTTATACCTTCCTACTAATTCTCTGAAACCTGTAACTAGCATAAAAAGTTATATTTGTACCTGCAAGACCAAGATTTTAAAAGAGGTACTTCCTAATTTTATTGTTAAACAAAAGGAATAAAAAATAAATGAATAAAATAAAAATAAATAAATGAAATTAAAAAACAGTCACTCTTAAAAACACTGAGTGGAGGAAAGCAAACCTGTGTTGTGAACGGCGTGAGCTTCTTCTTGTTTATTGTCCTCTCATCGATCGTATCAGGCACTGACAGGTTGATCATTTTACTGGTGGCAGAAAAGACACCCAAGTTTAGAAGTGTACTTCCATAAAGAGAGACTTCGTGAGAATCAAACTGAACGATACTCCGTGGTCTAACAGGACTCACCACAGCACAATTCCATCGCCTACAGCTTTGAAGAGGTCATCCGTGTTGGGGTTCATGGGCAGAACATGTTTGCAGTCGGGGTCTTTTTCCAGCGCTGTGTTGATCCAGTTCACAAAGGCAAACCTCTCCTCCTCTGGATCGCAGAAGAAATAAGAAGACACACAAGAGGGCATTTGCATGAGCTGAGCGCACTCGATTCCTCTCCTCCATCTCAGCCAACCTCATATGCTGCTTAGATGTTTTGAGACGCCAGATAAGAGAGAGTCTTATGTGCTGATGATGACAGCTAATCTAAATTTGGCTTTCATGGTCACCCAATACCAGAACATTGTGTCATACTGAGTAGGAACGAACGGTTTGGAGGACAAAAAATGGCTGCTTGGTTTAGTGAAAGGTGTAAGAAATTACAGCGTTATTCTGCCCCAAAATGTGAACCATGGCGCTCAACAGATTAATAATAATAATAATAATAATAAAGAAAGTAAAGGGTGAAAAAGGGTGAGCTATATGTGGCAAAAATATCACTCAAACCACCAATGGAGGTGTTCACACTCTCAGTGATAAAGGTACTAAACCGTCACTGGGGCAGTTCCCCTCTTGTCACTGGGGTGGAACCCTCGAGGGTCCATCTCAGTACCTTTAGTCAGGGAACATAACTGAACCATAATCCACTGAAATGATATGTTCTAAGCTGTACTGACTCCACACACCCCGTCTCGTCTCCAGGCTTTTATTTTACTGTTCTGTTTAAAACATTCAGTTATGAAAAGGTACAAATACGAACTTTTCACCTGGGAAAACTTATTTAAGGATCACAATCAGACCTTAAAACCACTGTTGTACCTTTGAGGGAACATTTACACTGAACCTTTATTTCTAACAGGGTAGGGACACATGACCAATCTGTAGTGTGAACTAGAGGTGGGCAGTATGACAATATTTTAAATGTTATTGTGATAAAAGACCTCACGATACACTTTTCTGAGCATATTGTGGATATTTTCGGTACTTAAAGAACAGCGGACAACTGCAGGTTTCATTACAAACAGAACATAATTAGTCTTGTTTAATAGGATTTAGCTCAGCTCAGTGTGTGAAATGATTGTCCTCAGTTTTTAAAAGTGGCACAACTGACAGTGTGTATGCTCCAACTTACCAACCCTCAGCTAACGTAAATATCATGATGCAAATTGTGTGTCAGGAAAATTTCTTGAAGTACGGTATTTGTGCTATATCGCCCACCCCTAGTCTGCACGTTAAAGTGCCTTGATGCACCCCTGACAGCAAGAGAGAACGACCTAATCAACTGTGACACTTAAGCAAAGATGAAATCAGCTGCACGGCTTCTTGCCTCGCCTCCTCTACCATTTAATTAGTTGTGTTAGCATATTGTCTGGATGCTTCTAACAGTCGTCACATGTACACAAACAAGGACTCACAGCACGTTTTTATCTGAAAACAAAGACAAGAGCCTGACCTAGTAGCTACATTTGCACAGCAGCCTTCCTCCAGTCACGAAATCCAATACTAAATGGTCACTGGAGATGCCACTTACCCCTCTACTGCTCGCATTATGAGAGCAATTAAAAAAAAATACTCAATTCACTTTTCTTGCATAAAATCAACCTGATTATTAAATCCAAAAACATTTTTAAATAATAACGTGTGCACGGGTCCTTTTGGGGTATGTTGCCCTGAGCCAACATCGTGCGACAATGGGAAGAAATGATCTAGAGCCGTGTTCCTTGAAGTGGCAAGAATCTGGCTTGTGGCTGGTCAAATCCATTCCACTGCCCTACAATGTTGCTTCTAGGCAACAAACACACTCCTGCAAATTCTCATAACAGATCAATGATACTGAATGTTAAAAAAGAGGTTTAAAAGTGTCCACTAAGAGAGAGTATGACCAAAAACATGCTTTTTATTGACTTGCTCGAACTCTTCCCTTTATTATTAACCTTGTTATTGTCGTTAAATATATGTAATGTTAGTGTTAAGTGAGGAAAATGGGTTTGTTGCTTAGAGGCAACGTCGTGCAATAGAGGGTTAATCAGATTACTTGAAATACTAGGTATGAACAGGGCTTTCCACATCTCTTTTAATGAAAAATGGGGTCGGTGGTGCTCAGAAAAGTTTATTATGACAATCTATTTAGACGTTTGAGGTTCAGTCTGACTGAAAGCAAATGCTATCAATTCTGTTTTATTGCAATAAAAGCTCTTCCATTGATTTTGGGGATCATTTTTCTTGGTACCTGAGTAGGAGTGCTGTGTGCCTGCACTGGACAGCTCAGACGTGCCCCCAATAGCCAGGATGCCCTCTTTCCTGTTGATGGCTTTGCGGAAGCTCTTGGCAATGTCGCTGCTTTTGAGCTCCTGGAAGATCTACACAGACGCAGAGGGGAGGGTTAGGATGTCACACGACAACACTGAAGAGCCTGTAACAGTGAGCATGTCAAACATGCCATGAAAGCAGATGCACATGTTCCATTTGCCACACCCAAGCAATCAGACAGGGCTCGTTCAGTTCCAAGTGGAACAAGCGGTGAAACCAAGCTGCCAGCAGCTGCGTTACAGTGCCCCCTCCCCACCCTGTGGACCGCCGCAGAAGCCAAACAAATACCGGTCCATTGACAGAGGAGAGTCTGCATTTAGTTAGGAGTGTTGACAGTGACCGGGGAAGGGCATTGTCCCCAACACAAGCTGGACAGGCACAGTGAGACACATTCATTTGTCCTTGGGAATTTTGCACCATGCTAACAATGACTCAGAGGAGAGCTACGCTTTTTCCATCTTTAGTCATGGCAGGCAAGGAAGCCCTTCCTATAATACTGAACTAATGATTAGGAGGAAATAAATGGGGGAAAAAATCCTGAATATGTAAGCCAAGAGCACTGCTTTCACTCCCTACTGCTGGTGGCTATTTACGGTTGAATCAGATAGATCTGGTTTTGGCTTAAAGCATCTGCTGAATCTGCTAATCTAGGATTTAGCGCAATAAATCTCCGTCGCCCTCTCTCGCTCTCTCTCTCTCTGTGTGTGGGACCATATGCTCACATCCAGAAAAAAACAGAACAACATCATTAAACAAATTTACTAGAAATAACTAACAGCATTAAGCAAACTCAACAGAAACAACATTCGTGCTCCACAGAGACGATCGTTATTAATGCAGACAGCAGGAAAATTTCTCCAAATCAATCACAAAAGAAAAACCACAAAAAAAAAGAAGTCTGTTGAAATGACTTACTGAGAGAAACTCATCAAAGCTGATCCTATTGTCCTTGTCTTTATCACCCTCCGTCATCAACTTCTGGATGATTTCGCGGACTTTGTATCCCGGCAGAGGCAGATTGGCCTCCTTGAACAGGTCGTGGAGCTCATAGTCACTGATGTAGCCATTGTTGTCTAGATCTGCAAACAGAGAGAGACAGAAAACACAATGTTTTACTGCACCATTTAGCATGTCACATGGCCTGGCATATCCAGCGTCATCTGAAGTACAGCCATGGCTATGACTCTGCCCAGCTGAGTCTGTTTATTATATTTATTATATTATTATAAAAGCAGTAACAAAAGGTGGGAACAGCTACTTAGATTTAAATTCTTTTTAACAATGAAGGACGCTTGTGCATAATCCGAATGAGTTTATTCACCAGGAGCACCCAATAAGGACATGGAGGAGTAAGAAGTGGGGAGCTTATCTGACCCAGAGGTGCACTTCACATAAGCTTTAATTAAGCATGAGACCCTGGATGATTTAAAAGGTTTCTTTCCACCTACTGTGCCCACTCAGTGCTCCTTGAATACTAATGTCCTACAGCAAGGTGACCTAAGGAGCACATACATGAGCCACGTGGCAAACAGCAATACAGCACCTTGAGTTTAACGCCCAGAACGTTTATAGAAGATTAGTGTGACGTAGCCAAAAGTGTGGTAGTCCTCGGTAGGACTGTCCTATGAAGACAAAGGAGATGTTCTTATGTAGTACGATAAACTACATATACAAATACACAGATCAGGCATAACATGATGACCACCTCCTTGTTTCTACACTCATTGTCCATTTTATCAGCTCCACTTACTATATAGGTGCACTTTGTAGTTCTACAGTTACAGACTGTAGTCCATCTGTTTCTCTGATACTTTGTTAGCCCCCTTTTACCCTGTTCTTCAGTGGGCAGGACCCCCATGGACCCTCACAGAGCAGGTACTGTTTGGGTGGTGGATCATTCTCAGCACTGCGGTAACACTGACGTGGTGGTGGTGTGTTAGTGTGTGTTGTGCTGGTACGAGTGGATCAAACACAGCAGTGCTGTCATTGGACAGCTGAACGCGCTCGGAGGAAAGCGCCAACCGCCAGATCTGTTACGTCAGCTAACAGACGCCTGCTCTGACTAGCATGGCGCTGAGTGATGGGGGGATAAGGGGGCCATCCTACCCACCCAGAGAGAGAGGCCAATTGTGCTCTCTTGGACTCCCAGACAGGGACGGCTGTAGCATCACCAGGGATCGAACTCGCAGCGCTTAGACGGTTCCGCCACTCAGGAGCCCCGCCTATTTCTTTTTGTTGTTACCTCTCGATTAAATAAGTCCAAAGCTCTTTCGGTCTAAAACTTTTCTTCTTTTAGCACGACAACTAAACGGCGCAAACACTGGGTACATCCCATTCTACAAAAAGACAACATGGGGAGTCCCACCGCCTCTAATAAGAGCAGAAGCTGCATAACAAGCAATTTTGCAAGTCAGTGGGGGAATTTGAGGCTCTGCTTCTGTTTGTGGCTCCTCTCATCAAAAAGGAGTGAATGAACTGAATACAGGTTCTGAAATTAAGTAAGAGAAATATTGGCTGATCGCCAATCGCATATTTGGGCTGAAAAATCGGCCGATACCAATACACAGTCAATCGATCGTTCCATCTCAGCAACCACTTGGGATACCATAACAATGGCCTAGTCCAGGGGTCGGCAACAAGAGTCTCTTTTAAAATAAAATAATCCTCCTTTACAGTAAAATAAAGCTCTGCTGATCGTTCAACACAGTTTAACAATAAATGGTCTTAAACGCTGGAGTTAATGTAGAACTGCTAATTCACCCTTTAACCCTGAAGATCAGCACAGACTGCTGGTCACCATAGCAACACAGTAGCTAGTAGCTAACGAAACGGCAAAGAGAGAGATTTAAGACTAACATCAATAATTTGGAGACAAATGGACTTATTTGCATTTATAATCACTCCAGCTGGTTTCCTGATACGTTGAATCTGCAACGAGAAACTGACAAACACTAAAACGTTGTGAAGATGAAGTCAGTTTCTCGTTCAAATTTTCCCGTTCCACCTTAAAGGCGGCAAAATTTAACTGCAGCACCATTTAAGGTGGAATGGGAAGATTTGAACAACAAGCTGGCGAATAAGAAGCTGACTTCAGCCTTGTAAAAAAAAAATAATAATAATAATAATAATAACATCGAGAGACATTTTACAAGAGACTATTCTACTTTTGAGGAAAAGTTTCCTGCCAGAGATGAGAGAAAAGCAATAAAAGCTGAGCTAAAGCTTAAAGCAGAGCAAATTAAGTCTGCATTTTTGCTGAAATTCTTTAGCTTGTACTAGTACATCAGCACATACTGAGACACATTTACAGCCAAGCTGGTAAAACGGACATAAAATGTGGTTTGATTTTTGTTGAAAGGACAAAATGTCTAACATTTGGGTTGCGACCCCTGGCCTAGTAACACCTTAGCAACTACCTGGGTCTTCACAGCAGTGGCTTTGTCAAGCAAATTAAAGTGTGTTCATAAACTTTCCCCATTCTAGTATTAATTTGCAACATGTCCATCAGTTATTTATATACAGTTACGTTCAAAGAAGTTTATTCTATAAACTTGGTTGAGACTGTTCCAGTAAGGTCAGGCGCACTTCACTGCTGAAATCTTTCCGTTCTTCAGACGTTTCCATTTGTGTCCAAAATTAGCCTTCGACCTCAATCAAACTGCTCCATTCAGACTGAACGACTGAGACACAATGAGAGGAAAGGAGAAGAAAACAATCTGAAATAATCAAGGTCATCAAGGTCTTATCATGCGCGAGATTTCATCACATTCCATGAGAACCCATGCGCAAGATTTCACCCCCCCCCTCCCCCAGCACTTTGACTGAATGACATCATCGTGGTGAGGGAGAGACTCTAAAGCAAATATCATGGTGACAGGTGACTTGGCTTAAGGCTAGATGACATGTGAAAGAATTATCTCTTGGCATTAACAGCAGAAACAAGACGGTTTGTGTACGGTCCACAGCGGAAGGCTGGCCAAGAGCTAATAAAATTGTAGTAGCATTAATCGATTGAGCTGGAAACGGCGCACCAGCCTGCTGGAAGGCCATTCTGAGCTTGAGCTGAAACACAACACCACAGTCATAGAGATCAAACATCACTGTTGATCTATAATCATCTTCTACCTTTCATGTCCTGAATAAGACATAATGCTTTGTAAAAACTGTGTGAAATGTGCTGACTTACAAGACCATCACACTGCAGCAGCAATGATTAATCAAAGCCACATAACAGCTAATAAACATAATCGCTTTCACTGTTCGGATTTTTTATGATCTATTGGCATTAATATGGAGTTGGTTCCCCTTTGCAGCTCTGACAGCTTCCACTCTTCTGGGAAGCTTCTACAAGATGTTGGAGAGTGTTTGTGGGAATTTCTGCTCGTTCATCCAGAACATTTGTGAGGTCAAACACTGATGTTGGACGAGAGGGCCTGGCTCACAATCTCCATTCTAGTTCATCCCAAAGATGTTGGATGGGGTTGAGGTCAGGGCTCTGTGAGGGCCAGTCAAGTTCTTCCACACCAAACTCGCCCAGTCAGGCCTTTATGGAGCTGCTTTGTACACTGGGGCTCAGTCATGCTGGAACAGGAAAGGTTCTTCCCCAAACTGTTCCCACAAAGTTGGAAGTGTACAATTGTCCAAAATGTCTTGGTGCTGAGTCATTAAGATTCCCCTTCACTGGAACTAAGGGTTCTAGACCAACCCCTGAAAAACAGCCCCATATCATCATCCCTCCTCCACCAAACTGTACAGCTGGCACAGTGCAGTCAGGCAGGTAACGTTCTCCTGGCATTCGCCAAACCCAGACTCATGTTTCCACTGCTCCAGAGTCCAGTGGCGTCGCTTTATACCACTCCATCGATTGGCATCGTGCTTGGTGATGTAAGCCACTAGCTTCCACTAACACATACAACCCACCCTTTTTTGACTCTCTTCGACACTTCTTTAAAATGAGTAAACAGAAATTTTGCTGTGTCTGATCCACTCGTACCAGCACAACACACACTAACACACCACCACCACGTCAGTGTTACTGCAGTGCTGAGAATGATCCACCACCCAAATAGTACCTGCTCTGTGAGGGTCCATGGGGGTCCTGGTCCTGACTGTAACTGTAGAACTACAAAGTGCACCTATATAGTAAGTGGAGCTGATAAAATGGACAATGAGCGCAGAAACAAGGAGGTGGTCATCATGTTATGCCTGATCGGTGCAACTGCCATTACTGGAGCTAGCTTTGGCACAGTGTTCCTCAGCAGCTCTCAAAAGCCATCACTCTCTCCTGGAGAAAGTAAACAAAGTAGTTGTTTTCTCCAAACAATTGTTCATTAGCTGGTTAGTTATTAGCTAATTACTTGCATCCCTAATTTGAATGACTACTGTGTTTCTTTAGACTCTTTAGCTCTCAGTCAACAGAAAGTATTTGACATAATAATTGCCAAGTAAATATTATTCAAGCAGACAGTAAAAACCTTTACCCACAACCAAAACCAGTCATTGCTGCCAAGTGAACAGAGGCATAACAAAGCAGGATGTATAGCTGCTGTCTAAGCCTTTTCTTTTGACCAATCAGAATCACTCTATTGTGTGGGGTAGCATCTGAACAGGATACATGAGACTACCAGGCTACGAAGCTTTGGAAGCTATAATGCTGCTGTCTGTTGCTGGATTCTGCATTTGCTCTCAACACTCAGTACAGGCTGTGCAGCTCAGAATGTAATGGCAACTGACCCATTATCTGGCCCATATATGCAGCTAGCTAGGGCTAACAGCTGCTCTGCAAGCTGCATGCAGAAACGCAAGCCCAGGCCCATAAACATAGACGCTGCTGACACACCCACCAAGATAATCACAACTGTCTGTCTGAGTCTCAAAACGAAACCTCATTTTATTATGCTTATTAACTTTCGGCCTCAACCTTAGTGGATGGATAATATAACACAAAAGAGAGATAAGGCTTTATAAAATATTAAAATGACTCTATATCACACTTTAAATGATTTTATAAGCATTTAAACAAACCTTATTCTGTGAACTGTTTAACAGAAAAACATTTCACACTATAATTATCAATGCGGTGTTTTGGAAACATAAACGAAAGTAAAGTCTTGTGCTGCTTCCTTCACAGTGAAGCTCGACTGCCCAAACTAGTAAAACAGGAGGACGACTTACCGACTTTCCCAAAGGCTTCACGCAGCTCTTCAAGCTCCTCCTTAGATATCTTAGCCGCCATCTCCCTGGAGAACAACCTGTACCTTTCTCAGTCCAACAGTGTGCCTTTATCTGTAACAGAGAGGAAAGCCAGGAGAGTAAAGATGCTGTTTACATGCATGATAATAGTAGTTTTCCTGTATTTGTCTACAAATCGGACACTTTCTGCGTCTTTAAAGACCCGTGCTGGGGTCAGGTGCGAAGTAACGCACATCACCATACAATAGATCAGGGATCTGCCAGAGAATACAGTAAGGTCAATTTGCATGGCATGCAAAGGAATGTCAAGCATGCAAAACAGATCACTGCATGTGTCCTGACTACAAGACAAGGGGAGGAAAAAAAACACCATAAGCCCTTTTTTACGTGTCTCGGAAGTCATAAATTTTTGTTACGTACTATTAATTCAAATGACTCATTCACCCGGTTTAAAACGCCTGCGGCACAGAACGTTTGCTTTCTTTCATCCTGACGTCCTTTACTCGCTACTTAGGATCTATGAACGATGAAATGACTCAGAGGTTAATTTTAACAAGCACAACAGTTAAGTAAACACAAATGATCACGAACGTAAATATTATGAAAGACTTCTCAATGGTTATCTGATAAATTCAGAGCCGAAGCCAAAGTCTATTCAGGTCGCAGGGCTGCAGTTTGCATACTTTGGTCACGCCAGGTTGGCGCTAAACCAAGGTCTGTCCACCAGATGAGCCCTGTACTGATTAGGGAGTCCATCAGTTGTTGCTGTGTGAATTTCTGCAGGACTACTGATGGTTCAAACACTAAGTACCTCCTCCACATCTTGTGCAAGTGCAAAAAAGGCCTTGCACAATAGCAGCAACAACATTTGGGCATCAATCTTAATTACAGCGTCCAGTTCTTTTGGCTACGTTCACACAGCAGGTAAAAGTGGCCCAAATCTGATTTTCTCATCAAAGCCGATTTTTTTGTTTGGCTGTTCACAATGTATTTTAAATGTGGTCTGTATGCAACGTCGGTCTGAACAGATCAGCTCGACCCGCATGTGCAAAAGAACCAGCTTCACATGGTGCGCCTATCTAGAGATGAACAATCATGACTTCCATCGAACGTCAGCCGATCCCGGAGGGTTCAGTTTCACCTTCGCCAGCTTCACAGGAGCCATCATGAAGCTTCACTGACTGACAGCTGGGCTCATCGACCCGAATGTGTTCGAGCTCGCCGTTAAAAGTGCACGTTATTCGGACACGGTCACTTCTTTGGTTCGCGTCCTCGGATTCTTTAAACTTTGCTTTCGGACTTTTAACTGTTCTATACGCTGCAGCCTCGTTCTCCTGCGGCCGCGTTCGTCCATTCCTTTCAAAATCTCTTCAAACACGGAGGGTTTCGGATGAATCTCTTCTAATTTTTTGGAACAGAAACATCAGCCTAAATGTTCATCCTCTTTAACTTCTTGGAACCACCGGTGGTTCCAAAACGCACTTCATCATATTCTTCACTTCACAACTTTCATATTTTATAAGCTTCATTCTAAAGGTTGGGGTCGTATGAGAGCTGTAACTGTCTTCTTTCCGGTCCAATAGATGGGTGATGCAATTTTAAAACTTTATTATAAAAGAAGCTGAAATTACAACCTTTTTTCTACTGAAAGTCGACCCATTTTTCCACAAATCTGCGCTATAAACTGGATCTCAGATGGCGTCTCTTCAGTGATCTGCTCTGTAAAAATAACTTTTATAAAAAAAAGGCAAACAGCTTCTAACATTTTTGGCTTTCAGCAGTAAATTGTAAGCAGATAGCGTTATGTTTATGATCTTAAAACACAATTTTTTACAAAAAAAATAAACAAATAAATAAAAAAGACATTTCTTTAATGGGCATGTAAATTCAGATGGAAAAACCGAAATATACCTACAAGCATAAGTGGTTATGAGGTCAAACAGCGCGAAATAATGATGAAGGTTGAGTTGGATTGACGTAAAAGTTGCATGAGTTCCGATCTGGCTGTTCAGACTGAGTCGAATTGCCGCAGGTCGGATGTGGATCGGATTTAAGTACCACATATGGAAGCATCTCAAATCGGAACTGAAAATGTCTGATTCTGTGTGTTTGCTGTTCACATTGACACACATCTGTGTCAGACATGAAGAAAAAGATCAGAATTGGGCCACTTTGACCTGCTGAGTGAACAAAGCCTTAGATACCACAATTATGCAGGCTTTTCAAACGCAACGCCAGATAATCTACTTTATTAGGCTACTTCAATTATCTCTTGGCAGTGATTTTGCTGTTACATTCCATCCAAGACTGAACTGGAATTAGATTTAAACTAGAGACCAGAACGACTGATCCCAGATCTGCGGTTAGAGCCTAAATGTGGTCGAGCCAAGCAGTTTCAGACTGTGGATCAAAGTCTAACTTGTCTAGCATCCCTGGGATGACTAATGATATGGCAATGGTGGAACGCCAGAGATGGGCTGGGTTGGAGTCACTCCTCACCGGTTTATGTCAACACCCATGCAAACGTCCATGCTCTCCTCGCTAGGTAAAACTGGACAGTGCCTGGAATAAAAACTTTCCATTAGGTAGGACAGTTTTGTCTTGTATTCTCCATCTCAAGGTCCGCATTTGATCTCACCACTCAACTATTTAGAAGGCCAACATCTTAGAAGCTCCACATGTGATAATGGGGAGGAGGGAGCTCCACCCAAAGCCCTGCTGCCGTCCCACAACATCAACAGCCACATCCTAGAGCTGCAGAGACCTTCTGCTACCGCTCCAGACTGCTACGATCAAGCCATCAAACCGGATTACCCGCAAAAGAGAGCTCAATCCTCAAAACCAGCCAGCTACAAGTCCAATTTGACCGAGGTTTGTTTAAGAGGCAGAACCTGCATCGCCCTACTGTCTTATTCACATAACACACACCTTGGAGCACAAAACACAATTTACCTGGACTACTGGAGCCATTAAACACCATGCATTATTGAACAGACAGCAAAAGCGCTCTTCCCCGAGAGCGAAGCTGGCAGTTTATGCTGTGCTCGCTCAACATTAAGCAGGTCTACCAACCTAAAAGCTGCAAAAACAGAGTGTGTGTGTGTGTGTGTGTGTGTGTGTGTGTGTGTGTGTGTGTGTGTGTGTGTGTGTGTGTGTGTGTGTGTTCGGGGGGGGAGCAATGAAAAAGTCTCAGTCGTGTATGGAATTCAATCCCTTCCTCTTCTCTCTACTTCAGAACGTCTCCCTTCCCTTCCGACTGCATCCAAAGGCCGACAAATCCAAAAAAGAAAACAACTCGACGTTCTACAGGCTCTACTGTGGTCAGCAAGCTGACTAGCTGGCAGTCGCGAGCAGGAGAGAGAGACGGACAGACAGACGGGGAGAGCTAGAGAGACAGAGACTACGCTTTCCTTCCCCCGGCTTGACGCCGAAACACGAGAGCAGAAGGGCTGGAGGCAGAAAGGAGCGAGAGGGCGCAAAAGAAGATGAAAGAAAGACGGAAAGGGAGCAAAGAAAGAGAAAGAGAGGGGCCTGACCTGTGCTGAGAGTCGGCTTCTCAGCGGCAAGAAGCAGAGGCAGTGCTCTCTCCACACCCTTCAAGCCTAATGTGGAGCGCCAGCATTCCTGTCTGCCTCACAAAGACTTCAGGCAGCAAGTCACTACACTTCCTGCCAGGCTGTGGGAGCTGCCTCCTGTGACTGGAGCACTGCGTATGCGTGCTGGGGAGGGGTGGGGATGGGGAGGGTGTGTTAAAGCAAAGGCTGAGAGCAGGAGAGACAGAGAGAGAGAGAGAGAGAGAGAGTAAGTGAGAAAAGGGCATCTGTTTTTTTGTTTTTCTTCTTTTTTTTTTGCCCCTTTCTCTCTTCCAGATGTTTTGGGCGACGAGCACCAGGAATAACGAGCGAGGGAGCGAGACTGACTGCATACCTCACAATATAAACTAGCCTAAATCTGGGTTTGGACTGAAATGTGTGTTTATCTGTTGGGATGGTAAGCAGTATGAACTAAAAAGGACTGCTGACTTAATTTAAAATGCAAATAAACTTGGAAAGGAAAGTTAGGAATGGGGATGTGGTTGTTGTTGCAGGCCACAATGAACCAGCATACCAACTAAACATCCAAACCTCTTTGGATCAAAAGAACATGCTCCTCTTTTAGATCTTCAGAACCTCGCGCAGCGAATTCCACAGGCATTACACGAACACAGAACATATGCCATCGTCATCATCTCTGCTATTTCACCAACGGTAAACCCATTTCCAAAAACAGGGGGAGACGGGGAGGGGGGGGCTGTGTACTGGTGCCGAACAATGACCCTGCTTTGTTCAGGAAACGTTCAACGTGAGAAACCTAACGCAGCGCTAAAGGAACCGAGTGGGGGCTCACTGATGCGGAGATAAGCCCTCCCACTAGCACTTATTTTAAATACACCTTAATTATTATGATTTAAAGTGCTGCCAGCACCCCAAGCAGAATGTTACGAGACTGACATTCCTTAAGCTCAGGTTACAACACGAGACTGATCACTTGTTCGACAAGCCCCATCTTGCGGATCAGGAACAAAGCCCATCGCGCACCGGAGCGGAACAACGCTTTGCGAAAGATATGGAAGCTTCGGGCCGAGCGCTGCGTCAGTGTGGAATCCCAGGGCTGCGAGAACACAAGTCAGATTCAGCAGGCCAGGCCACGCTCCCTGCACCGCTGCCATTCAGGACTTGCAAGCACTTGCTGCCTGCGGAACAGTTGTGGGGATCGCATGTGATCACGCTTTAGAGCAAACACCACGACAGGTGTTCACTTTCACCCCCAGCCCCATAAACTCAGCATGGAGGAGCCCAGAGGGCCAAGAGACAACTGTTTAGGCCCTGCACATGCCTCATTACCAGGAGAAGCCACCGGGCCTTTGCTGGCAAGGCACCAGAGGACATCAGCGGCCTTGTTATTGTGTTATTAGGAGAGATAAGATTTTGATGCAAAGGAAAACAAACAATGCCGAAATGCGAAACACTTGAGAGACAGTCTAAATAAAATGGTGTCTCAGCGACTCAGAGACTTTGGCCCACGTATCCAGATATTTCTGAAAACAGGTTTTTCTCCATTTTCAAAAAATAAATAAATAAGATAAAATCTTTGTCCAACCCAAGAGCGTTTCTCAAAACACCTCTCCTTCCATATGGCAACACAGAAGAGACCTGAAGGGGTGAATAATTTCTCACAAATTTGATTTCTTTCCAATTCCATTTCTTATTTTTACCCCTACCCCTTGTTTTCGAGTGTCGCCCTAACCCCTCGGAACTGAGCAGTCATTGAAATCTTCCCTCTGAAATGGGACCCTCAAATAAAAAGAGCATCACTTCATTAACAGCTACCAGCGCTGCTCTGTAGGCGACCCTGCCAGTCTGCAGTGACAGCAGAGGAGGGTAAAGTTCAGCTCCTCACTGCTGGGCTTTAGATACATTTAGGGCATCATATGATCTTCAAAGAGGGGGGCAATTATTTATTATCACCCACCCCTAATTCTTCAGTGATATGAAGCTGAAGTCAGATATTCACCAGCTTCTTGTTCAAATCTTCCCATTCCACCTTAAATGGTGCAGCAGTTACATTCTGGCGCTTCAGGCATCAGAACTGCTGGACTATTTAAGGTGGAACGGGAAAGTTAGCTAGCTAGCTACTGAAACATCAGCATGCTATTAACGATTCTTTTGCTTGTTATGAAGAAAACGACCAAAATACACTGAAACGACATTAAACTAAGTTAATATAGTGGTTATTGTAATTTTTTAAAAGGAGAAAATTCTCACATTTGTGGGTTTCTTTGCTCTCTTGTTCTCCATCGTGCCGGTTTTTCTTTTTCTCTCATAACTCTCTGTTTGGAGTCTCTGAAAAACCTCCATTTGGAGGGTCATGTAGCCCCAACACTTCACCCCACCCCTCTATCTCAACAAGAATCGGGACACCCTACCCCTAGACGTGAACACGCAAAACAGAGGGCTAAGGGCTCAGTGGTCGGGGCGAGGGGTGAAATCCGACTGGGCCTTGATATCACAAGCATCAAGAAGAACGTTGGGAGTGTATGGTGTAAATATGTTGAGCACAAAGCTGAAGAAGAAATTTTTTTGCTGTTTTTGTGCGAACAGGAGGCCAAAATGCAGAGAAAAAACCCTCTGTTTTCAAAAATATCACGTTTACGTTTGGACAGGCCTTCATACGCCTGTGCAGCTTCTAAAGTACCAGCAATAAATCGGGGTCAGATGTAGTTCAGTTTTTATGGCCAAAATCCAGCACTACACAGAAAGCCTAGACATCAGGCCACATATAAAGAGCAAGATAGAGATTGGAGTCATCAAAACAAGCTCAAAAACTATTACAACAAAGGAGAAAATTCTTTGGGCTGACACACAGTCACACCTAGCTTTCCCAATCCACTGGAATACATTCCCTCGAGCAGACACAACTCAAAAGGCCTCATTTGCTGTGGAATGCTTGAGCAGGAAGGCCAAAGCAGGAACTTGTTTGGTCTTGCGTCTCCACTAGCGCATCATAGATCATACGATTATGAAATAAACCAGCAAAGTATTTTAAAAACCACATAAACACACTCTTAATATATAACGTGAGAGCAGGGTAGATGTGATTTAGTGAAAGAGATACAGAAACACAAGTAGGGCATTTAAAGTGAATCTCAGCAGCAGGCAGACTGTGCTGTCTTGTGAAATGGCCAAGTTTCACCACCACTCAGCCTCAGGAGTTAACACAGAGGGGGGCTACAAGGTCATTAATACCAATTTTATATACACCGGTCAGGCGTAACATTATGAGCACCTCCTTGTTTCTACGCTCATTGTCCATTTTATCAGCTCCACTTACTATATAGGTGCACTTTGTAGTTCTACAGTTACAGACTGTAGTCCATCTGTTTCTCTGACACTTTGTTAGCCCCCTTTTACCCTGTTCTTCAGTGGTCAGGACCCCCATGGACCCTCACAGAGCAGGTACTGTTTGGGTAGTGGGTCATTCTCAGCACTGCAGTAACACTGACGTGGTGGTGGTGTGTTAGTGTGTGTTGCGCTGGTCTGAGTGGATCAGACACAGCAGTGCTGCTGGAGTTTTTAAACACCTCAGTGTCACTGCTGGACTGAGAATAGTCCACCAACCAAAAATATCCAGACAACAGCGTCCTGTGGGCAGCGTCCTATGACCACTGATGAAGGACTAGAGGATGACCAACACAAACTGTGCAGCAGCAGATGAGCTATCGTCTCTGACTTTACATCTACAAGGTGGACTGACAAGGTAGGAGTGTCTAATAGAGTGGACAGTGAGTGGACACAGTGTTTAAAAACTCCAGCAGCACTGCTGTGTCTGATCCACTCAGACCAGCACAACACACACTAACACACCACCACCACGTCAGTGTTACTGCAGTGCTGAGAATGATCCACCACCCAAATAGTACCTGCTCTGTGAGGGTCCATGGGGTCCTGACCACTGAAGAACAGGGTAAAAGGGGGCTACAAAGTATCAGAGAAACAGATGGACTACAGTCTGTAACTGTAGAACTACAAAGTGCACCTATACAGTAAGTGGAGCTGATAAAATGGACAATGAGCATAGAAACAAGGAGGTGGTCATAATGATATGCCTGATCTGTGTAAAGCAATAAAAAAAATAAGTAAAATTAAGTTAAAAGTAAATAAAATAGCCATCTTTAACGAACAGAGGTCACGAATGTGTCACGAATACTTGAACTGGAAAAGGAATTCATTCCTAACGTGTCATCTTCCTGGTGAAATAATACAGGTGTGCAATCTATTCAAAGCACATATTCCTCATGTGGTCAAACCATAAGAGATAGTTTCCAAGTTAAAAAATCCGGGTTTCAAGGTGAGATGAACATTTTTGCTTTGAGTCCTACATTTTTGTGCCAGTACTAGACAACTGAATATTTCTGGAACGTTTGCATCCTGAGTTTCATATTTGAAAACATAATCATATCCAGGTGATAAGATGTTGGAACTGTTTAGGAAGAAACGGTCAACAGCTGTGAGAAATCATAGACTAGCAATTTATTAACACTCAAAAAGCAGGTCAAAACATTGCAGGCGTCCAGATCCTTTACTCGCTGTAGTGGGCAGGGCACAAACGGGCAGGTATACAAAGGGTTTGGCGCTTGCTATTGAAGAGACTTCGCTGTTGTAGGTGGTGACTCAAGGCGGACTGGATGAGTAACTGCCTCAGACCAGTGGCTTTTATGAGGGGAAAATGTGGCACAGTTGGTTCTGGGGTGGCTGAGCCAGCGACAGTCTTTGCGACTTCCCAAATCTGAGCCGACAAGGCTCAGGCTAGACTGTATCAGACACGCCAGTGGTGGAAAATAACACTTAACTGTCTAACCACGAGGAATACAAAGGGCACAGTGTGCACAAAGCGCACACACACACACACACACACACACACACACACACACACACACACACAACTATAAAATAACACCAGTAAAACTAGCGCCTAAAATGATTGCCGTCAACTGCTACAAACACAAGGCTAAGGAAACTACAGTGACTGACCAGGCATAACATTATAGTCCATCTGTTTCTCTGCATACTTTGTTAGCCCCCTTTTACCCTGTTCTTCAGTGGTCAGGACCCCCATGGACCCTCACAGAGCAGGTACTATTTGGGTGGTGGATCATTCTCAG